TTTCCTTTAGTATGATAAAAACAAATAAATTCAATCTGTCTTCCCTATATGCTCACTTCCAAACATCGTGTTTTACCCAATTCAAAGATATATTTAAATTTTAACTTAAATGTACAAAGTGTGGCTATGTGGCAGGAAAAAATAGAAAAAAAAATAATGTCACTAAAATGTTGTAGTTAAATATATTGCATCTTCCTGGCCTGTCATGACACATGTGGTGACAGGGTATCTAATCAACACTTTCTCCTGCTCAGGCATTTTCTCAGAGCTAATTGAACATCTTCATTTTAAACTTGTAAATTTAATTGTTCATCGTAGGGACTACTGGTATAAAAGACAGAAGTTGTTTCCTTATCCATGGGCCCAAAAAAATGGCTTAAAATACTTATAAACAGCTGGTCCAAAGAAAAGAGAAACTAATATGTGGGAATTGCAGTTTCTGAATGATTTTGACCTGTCCTACGTGCAGCTGATGGAAGACAATGGAAAGGATAAAACCATAAAAACAAAAATAGATAAACTGGGCAGGATGATGTGGTTACTCCTACGATAAATACCAACAGCTTATTGACACAGGTGCCGGTGCAGGAGAGCTGGATCACAGGGAGAATGTCACAGAAATACAGGGAGAGTGTCACAGAAATAGGAGTTTCTAGTGTTTGTGTCACACGTCAATCTCAGCATGCATCCTATGTGGGCCATGGCACCAGAAGATGCCATCAGGTATGAACCAAGTGTTAGGTTGCTACACACTTGGGGAGACATGAAAATGGTATACACCAATGACTTAACTAGCATCACATACAAATCATAAGGCTTAGACATCAGCACATAGCATAAAGAAATGAGAAAAAACGTAGAGCAGGGTCATATATCTGATGTAAGATTATATTTTTTAATATGCAATTTGCTGATATTGTGGGAGTAAGCACTGAAAATCAACAGAAGTCAGCGCTATAAGGAAGAAACTACATAGGTGTATGAAAGTCCAAACTCTGCCTATTAAAGCCCACAATTCCCAATATAGTGACCACACACATTACTACAAAGAACAGAGCTATCCGAAGATTACTTTGGTCTGTTAACCGCACAAGAATAAATTCAGTCACAAAAGGGCCTTTTTCAGGAGACATTCTTCTCCAAGTCGATGGAGAACAGTAAATAAATGTCCACTAGAGAACAATTTGGCTCTTCCAATGTTAGTTCTTTCCCCTCCCTTGAGGTACATTCTGGGAACACCTGAAAGTAGCCCGGAATGAACTGCTCAAAAGGAAAGACAAACTAGGGTAGGGGAAAGGAGGAAAGAAAGATTATATGTAGATAGGAAGATAGACAGAGAGAAAAGATAGACAATTATACTACTAATCTCTATTAGTTCATCAAAAAAAAGAGTTTGTGCTCACATTGTTTGATAGTGTGATCATTTTTTCATGCTTACATCTTGTGATATGAACGACTACTTTGAAGATAACAATATACAATATATTAACCAGTGTTAAACTATTATTTTATTTTGAAATTCTATATTATCATTTTTATTTTTTTCATTTTTAAAATTTAAAAAATGTATATATATATATATATATATATATATATATATATATATATTCATAAACCAAAAAGAATCAGCCAGTGTGCAGCATAACTTACACTGCAGAGGACATTCAGTGAGACTTAATAAGAACATGTCTTCTGAAGAAAACAGGCTAAAAAAGAAGAAGAAACTAGGATATACATTTTCACATCACATACCCATCCCTGGAATCCTCACTTGGTCAGTAAAGCTAGAGGCAGGAGACATGTCAGTCTGGTGCTGCCTTTTAGGGCAGATTAGACCATGATGGGGTGGGAGTTAGTATATTTTTCAAACTTCCTACTTCAAAAGTGAAAGACCAGATTCTAAGAGAGGTTATTTATTCTACAATGGCACAGACAAAGTGATATGTCTGGATGAGCGAGAGTTCCTTCCTAGAGAGTAAAGCATCCACGGAAATCCTATCACACTTGTCTCTGCTACTATCTTCAAGCACTCTTTGCTGCCTGGAGTGATGTCTTTTGCTAGAGTTGACACACTGCAACAAGGAGGGAAACGACATGGGGTCAGGGTGCTGTCTTCCATCCAACACTAAGGGTGTTGGAAAACATGGAATTCAGTAACATCAGCAGTCGAGACTTGGGGATTCTTGATGCTGTGTTTTATGCCTTACGTTTCCCGTGGGAAGAAGGATTTTGAGATTATGAGTTTTGGTGTCCTATGATTCTAGGAGGTTGTAATCCTGACTATTTTTGATGTACCCTGGAATCTTTTTTCAATATGTCATAATTTATAATTATGAGATTAGCTGTGTGGCAGCAGACAAAAAGTCTTTATTACCACATTTGCCACTTACGAGACACAGAGAATTTAACATGAATTTAGGGATTTAAACATGGAATTATAAACAAAATGCAGGAACATTCAATCTGCTCCCTAGAGAATAGATGCCAGGTGTAAATATCACATAATGTAATTGTATTTACAACCAGGGCCATGATCTGTTTTTAACCACTGAAATCCATGCACTTTTACTCAAATTACACTTCAGCCTACAAGGTTAATGCTCCAAAGCACAGTGAAAAATAAATTCCATTTCTCCATTAATTTCAGTTATGTAGGGAATTTACTGCTTGGGTTTTTCCCAGCATTTTTCATGCATCTCAATTTGATATTTCCCATACTTGTTTCCAGGCTTTCTATGTCTATTACTGAAAATGATCATGGGTGCAAGTCACTCAAGTGCAAGTCACATCAATTGCACAGGTGCAAGTCACATCAACTGCAATAACCCTAAAATATCTTTCAACCATTCATTTTCCTTCTAAAGAGTTTACTTGTAGAAGCTTCCTGGGAATCTCTACCTGGGGGTCTTGCTCAATCTTTAAATGGAAGAACTCAGTAATAAGGCCATCCTCATAGTAAATGGTGGATTCGACAATATTCAAAGGTCTGTGTTTCAATCCCTCCTCCCCAGCATGCTTTTTAATCAAAGTACCCTGGGTATCTTGTTGAACTTCTTTTTGCTTCAAGTTCATAATTCCTAAAATAGAGACAATGATGGCTGTATCTCATTCATGGCTATTTGTGAAAATTAAATAAGATACTATAACTCAAATGAGTACCCCATGCCAGGAATATGGAAAACTGTTAACAAACATTAGCTGTTATTAGGCGTAAACATCTAGTACATTTCTATCATCACACTTATCAGACATTTTCTGCCCTAATGATTGTGTTTCTGTAAGAAGTCTATGTTTTACAAGGATAAAGATCACTTCTACCTTATGTACTACCTTCCTCTCAGTAATAAGTTCACTACAGAATATCTGAGAGGAACTCCTGAAGTATTTATAGATATTATAGTGTTTGACTGAATAACTTTGTTATCTTTTCCACATTCCTTACCTGCTTAGGAATAGAGGTTATATAACCACAATGACTCCCATCCCTTCTCCTCAGAGGCAACACAGGCTTAGCTACATTTTTAACAAAATGTCTAGAATAAACAAATGCATATACAGAAAGCAAACTGGCTACATTCCAGGATCTATACTTCTGAACTGTATCCAAAAACTATAGTGCCCAGTTATACACTGTTGAATATCAGATTAATTAAAGTGAATAATTCGTAGGTAACAACTCAGGGCATGTCAGTATTAAACTCTAACCACCCCATAAAAGATTTCCCTGCCATAATCAGCTTAGCTCAGGGCAACATTGCAATAGAAATTCCATTTTAAGGCTCCTGCTGAAGTAGTTCTCCAGAAATTTTCTCTATTCCTTTGCAATTCTCCTGTTACTCTACATTGATCATAGATGCACAATAGATTCAAAGGCTGGACTTTGCATCTCTACCTGTATGGTCTTAAGCATGAATATTCCTTCATCAAGAGAAAAAAAAAATAAAATGACGCCCTTAACTGAAACTTTAAAGAATGTGACACTCAGTATGGGACACTAGGTTAGGCTATTCTTCTAAGAGAACTGTGGACAAATTTATGTTTTCAAAAAGTAGGTCCCACCTGATTAAGATTCGTTGCATATATTTTGATGTGCGTTTTAAAGGGTGACAAGGCAATAGACTCTGTCTTGAAAAACTCGGGCCTGGTTATGTAGCTGAAGAAGTAAAGAATCTCAGCATCACATGTGAGACAGTGTTCACTAGTCAGGAATTCCACATGTGGTTCTGAATGACAGACACAAACCAGCAACATGTGGACAAATATACTCAGTATAATTTCTTACAATAAATTAGTGTACCAATGCAATATCTTTATGAGTAGCATTGGAAAATTTTTGGCACAGTCACAGGCCTCACCAATCCTAATATATCTACAGATACATAAATGTTATGCAAGGGCCAGGGACTCAGCTCAGCAGTTCAGATGCTTGCCTTGTAAGTGCCAGATCATGAATTTCATCCCTGGACCAAAGAACAAAACAAAACAAAGAATGTTGTGCAAAATGTATACAATTGCAATAGAGATATGAGGTTAAAACTCTCAATACAACCACCATCAAAAAATGCTGAAAAAAATCTGGAAATATATAGTATGTCCACAATTTTTATCATTCTGTTTATTTTAAAGTAGCTACAAGTACTAGTATGCTTGTAACATGAAAAATTTCATACATTTTTCCTTGAAAGAAGAAAAAATACAATAAAAGTAACTTGTACTACCTTTATGCATGAAAAGTTATCAGTCCAGTGTCTCCTTATGGTATAGAGAATTCACTCTAGATTGGAACCATCTTGGAACTAACACTGTCTCAGATCCGTAAACAGGTACTTCTGGTGTATTCATAGTGGACAGAGAGAGAAAAGACAGTACAATAAAATTCCCACCCAGATGGTAGAAGGAAAGATGAAGACAAGGTGAAAAAAAAAAAATAGAAGGAGATCAGGAAGTGACGAAAAAGTCCAAGTAATGTGGGCAGGGACCCAGGCAGCTGCACTGTCCACTCAGCTTGTGTTTCTCTTCAGGGCTCCCTTCAGAGTAAGTTTGACATCCTTGTTCCTGAGGCTATAAATGAGGGGATTGAGCATGGGAATCACAAGTGTATAAAACACAGAGAAAAACTTTCCCTGGCCCACGGAGCTAGCAGATGATGGCTTGACATAAGTGAGCAGACCAGATCCATAGAACAGGCCAACAGATATTATGTGAGAACCACAGGTACTGATGGCTTTGGATGAAGCCCTGACTGATGACATATGCATGATATTAAAGAGAATCGAAGCATACGAGATGAAAATAATGAGGCTAGACCCAATGATAACTGTGCCCACAACAGCAGAACTCAGAAGCTCGTTGACATATGTGCTGCTGCAGGAGAGCTGGAGCAGGGGGAGGATGTCACACATGTAATGGTTGATGATGTTAGAATCACAAAAGATAAGCCTCATCATGCATCCTGTGTGGAGCATGGCACCCATAAACCCCATCAAGTAGGAGCCAAGCATCAGCAGAGAACAGGTTCTAGGGGATATGATGACTGCGTACAGAAGGGGCTGACAAATAGCCACATAGCGATCATAGGCCATAGCTGTCAGCACATAGCACTCAGAACTGACAAAAAAACAGAAGAAAAAGAGCTGAGCCATACACCCTGTAAATGGGATGACATTCCTCTGTGAAATAAACCCCATCAGCAATTTGGGGCCACAGACAAATGAGTAACATAAATCAATGAAGGACAAATTGAAGAGAAAAAAGTACATGGGTGTGTGAAGGTGTGAATTCAGCAAAATTAAGTTAATTAAGCTCACATTTCCCACCACAGTGGCTATGCTGTTCATCAAGAACAAGAAGAAGAGGGGCAATTGTAGCTCAGGCTGGTCCGTCAATCCCATCAGAATAAACTCCATCACTGAAGAGTTGTTTCCTATGTCCATTTCCTTCACAGTGGGATCTTCTGAAAGACAAGAAGACAGTGAAATAAACATTGAAACTTCAGAGAGGGAGAGAGAGAGAGAGAGAGAGAGAGAGAGAGAGAGAGAGAGAGAGAGAGAGATAGAGCTGCTTTATGAGTTACAGTTTTCTGACAACATGCATAAAACCTCCAAAGAACAAGAGCTCCTGTGTTGATTTCTCAGGAATCCCAATTTCCTCTTTGCCCCTCTACCTGGTTTCTCTGTCCAAGAAACAGGCTGCTGGATTTCACAATGCATCTGAATATTATTGCCTCACTTCACTATTCGGTGCAGATTAGGGATGTGAAGAGCAATAAATAGGGAGTGTTCCCATTAAACAGTGATTTACTTAGTTGGGGATTTAAAGGTCAAGATGAATTACTGCTCACCTTCTACCTCTTGAGGTCTCCCTGTCTGGGATCTGAAGGACCCTTCCTCTCCTCTGTCCTGAGATGTAATCGAAATTTTTGATGGTACAGGAGATTATGGCCATCAGTGCCTATCTGTATGTTAGAGGAGTGCTCTGGATTTAGAGATTTCACTAAAAAGTTCTCTTCACTTGCAAGAAAGAAAACAACAACCTTATATGAGTCCCCAAAACTTCTCCTCAATCAAATGAAAACCTGTCTTATGCCATATAGCTCTGAAGAAAATGGTACAATGCATAGAAAACTATTCTCTTATTTACCGTTTCTTCCTGAGTTGGATGAGCCCCTTGAGAATAGAAATTATTGAGCATGTGTTTACATCCTGTGCTATAAACCTAACACTGGATCTTTTGAGACTCAATATGCTACCTGAGTTAAAATTTCCCATGAGGAATACCTAGTTCCCAGAGCTGTGTATGTAGCTCAGTGGCACATCACCTGCTTGGCAAGCCTGAGTTCATGAGTTTGATTCCTGGCGCCTAAATAAATAAATAAATTTTCAGGAATATCTAATTCTCTGGGAAGAATAGCAAATGCCCACCTTTGTAACTCTCTTCATCATGCGATAAAGAGGTCTATAACAAGGCCAACAGCATAGTCACTTCTATTTCTAGAATGTTCCTACAAACCTTGAGGTTGCATTAATAAATATTAGACTGGATCATAGCTCTAAGACTCTGTGCACTTATGAAGCTCACCCAGTAATGGAATGTGGAGGCAACCAGCTTGAAAGAACAGGAGTAGGTACCAAAGCAATCTGAGTTTAAATCTGAGTGTTTGAATGCCCCAAAATGTGACTATCAGTGAGTGGTAAAATTTCTCTGACCCCTGTTTATGTATGTTTATATCTATACTTATTTCTGCATGTCTATAAAACGATACTCATGAAAAGGTTACTTATTTGAACATTGTGGGAATTGTACATAAAGTTTCCCATAAGGTATTGGAATTGTGAACTATACAGAGAGCCTGGTAAGTATTACAAGTAAAATAGCTTCACCTCCAGTCCTGTTCCACACATGTTCATATGATAAAGCTTGGCACTGTGGACATTGGAATGCAATAAGGTTTTATTGTGTGTGTGAGCTTTTTATTTGTGGAGAATTCACAGATCCATACTCTTTCCCATTAGGCAGTAAGAGTATTCTCTGCCCATCTCACATTCATACACACCAAAAAAATCATGAATTTTTGACCATCAAAATTTCTTTTTGATGGTTATGGGTCTTGCAAACACGATAATCCAAAAATATGATGCTTTGGTAAGCTATGAACTTTGAACCGCAAACACTGGAAGACTGTGGAAGAGAGTGACTTTCTGATCTTTCCCTGCCCTTCTTCCTCTAGTTGTTTTTACTTCTCGAAGGTTGAAAAACAGAAACGAGAATTTTCTATTATCCAAGGTACATCTTACCAACTAGAAATCACCTCCATTACAACAGCAATGAACCTGGAATGTTAGTCTTATTCTCACCTTTTTGTGTAAGACCTGATCGTAAAGAAATTCTCTATCATTATTTGTCCCATAAGGACTCATATAGAGTCCTCTTATGGAAGATATGCTCCTCCATGCCCAGGAGGAAGGAGAGATCTAAGAGAGAGGCGTAATATTTTTGTTCCACTCTTATTTCTGTAGATTTACGTTTCCCCTCTAACTTACCTAAAATATATATATATATATATATATATATATATATATATATATAGTTTGCCTTGGGCTTTGTAGCTTCATTTATGTAAACTTTTGTGTCTTGTAAAAGTTTGATTAAATCAATCCTATAAGTTTTTCTCTTAAAAACATTTTTTATTATGAGTATCAGCAATGATTCCTATAATGCAAAAGGAAAGCATCACACATTTACGTGCTGCAGTTGCAAAATTGCCCACATTTAGGAACTGTTGTTCTATTTCTATAGCCTGACATCTGCCATGTGTGCCTCACAAAGAATTCTATTTCAAATTTACCTCTGCACCTCACCCTCAATGTACGCTCACTGAATTCCAGTTTTTCTAACAGTCCTTAGTACTGCTCTTCTTCAATTCATCATTTCCTCATTTATTTTCACATTTACCCTGGTGCTGATGAACAATCTAAACCTACCACCCCCTTGTCTTCCATGGTATTCATCCATGCCCCAAATTCTGTGAACCCCTCTTCTAAGCTCAGAATTTCCTGGGAGACAGTATTTCAGCTTCTCTTCATCTCACATTTGGGTCACTAACAACTTTCTTTATCTTCCATGGAAGAGGAGAATTGAGGCATCGTACCCATCACCAGCCCTGTGTACACAGACACCCCTTTTCTTTATGCCCCCTCCCAGTTCATGCCACCAATATTAAAGTCATAAATTCAGATATGTTATTGACATCAATAACATTTTACTACTAAAACTAGTGTTAAAGTACTATTTACAGTGAAACTGTGGCCAAACCGAGTCCACGAAAGGCAGGACACAGGATGAAGCCTGGAGGCTTACACTGGTGTTCCAGGCTGGGATTGTTCCCAAAAAATGCCAGGCCACAAGGGTTGGTGGGATAGAATTTTTATAAAATCCATAAGCAGGAGTTATGAAAATGGAATGGCCTGGCTGTTCTTGATTAGTTAACAGGAGGACATCATCAGTTACACGGCCAGGTTAATAATCACAGAGTCTGCTACAATCAGATATGTTTAATATGCTGTCATGGTTACAGGGGTCAAGAAAGCAATTACAGAGACAGGAAGCAGTTACACAACCAGGCAGTTTTAAAAAGAACAATTTTTCCTTTAATAGTTTTCCCTTTCACTATCAATGCATTCGTTTCTATTACTCTTCTTAGGTCAGCTTTCAATAATATTCCATATATTTTTCTGGTTCATCCACAAATTATTCCTGTTCTTTTAAATTAATGAATTTAGCCACATATGTTCACTTTCATCTTCTCAAATAGAATTTTCAGAAGCTTTTGAAGCACCAGTGTCTTGTCTTCTTATAGTGGTACAAAATTTGAAAGAGTAAGGTCTTCTGCCATAATATCAGGGATTTCTGTCATCTCTCTCATGTACTGGTTCATTTATTTAATGAATAATACATTTCCTTTTTTCTTGATTTCTCCATTATTATACAAGATGTTATACCTTAGTTTCTTGGGAAAAAATTAGGGGAGTGATGAATTTAAAAATTCTGACTTGTTTATCTAAAAGTGTCATTTTATAGCATCTTATCCATTGGTCTTTTAAATGAGAGTAGAAAACTTACTTAAATGTCTTCTAAGAATGTCTTAGCACTCCTGCCCTCCTGTAACATTCGGGAGTGGAGGTCTCAAATCCAATGAATATTTCTAAGTGGCCGGATAGTACTTAATAATGGTGGACTTCACAGGATATTATCCAATACCAGGGAGAAACTATTACTGGAATGCCATTAGGTCTTCTATCATGGTCTGGTTTGATTACCTACAGATGTGCCTACCAAAATTCCTGAAAGATATTATCTTTCTTTAACAATATTCAAACTGAATGAAGGAAAATGTTTCAACCTTCAGAAAGCAAAAATTCTACCTTCTTTCCTTGTTTTAAATATGGTAAACTCAGTCACACATACACATATGGTCTCCAGAGTTAGAAACTCCATTTTACTCTCTTTAAAGAATAAATGCTTATTCTTTTTTCAGGATGTAGAAGACAATCATCTGACTACGTGCACAGGGCAAGATCCGGTGAATTACATACTTCCTAAAGGAACTTTTACGTATTTCAGTTATTTATCTCCACCTAATTTCTCCACAAAACACCTTGCCTCATGGAGCTTGGAGTGTATGTAGCACTGCTCAGTGTAGGTGAAGCCTTACCCTTGGCTTCTTCAGCTCTGTTTATGTCACAAGTCATGAGAATTCCACAATAAATTTTGCTCACTTATCTACTATTTAACTTCCAAGATTTTGGTGGTGTATTATTCTACAGAGGATTTTTATCCATTTGCTTTGCACTTCTCAGTTAATACCATTTGTACCTCTTTCTAATAACTCAATGAATTTCAGAAAGAAATTGAGAATGTGTTTGCATTAGGTATGCCATTACTAGCCAGAGCCTTCGGATTGACTTACTTGGATGACACAGAGGAGCATCGTGGAAATGGAAGACACGGGGATTGCTGACTAAAGCTGCCCAGTCTTGAGAAAATCTGTTCCATGCAGAGTATATGTGCATGAGGTCTGAAAACCCTTACTTTGTTCATTTTAGAGGTTTTAATGATTTGTTTAATCCAAAAATACTCTTTTAGCATGTAAACATGCAGAGGACCAAGAATGCAAACAGAATAAGACAAACAGGTTTGGCAAACAGGTTTGCCAAAGTTCCCTCATTTTCATAAAAGTGACATCCAAAGAAGCTGAGATTTGTAGCTTCTGCTTACCCCTCACAGAACTAAATTTATTATATACCTTGCCTAAATTCATCCTTACAGTCACCCTGTGAACAAGGCATCCAGTCCACTCCCCTCTCAAAAAAATAGCATGCTGCATGCAGCAGAGTATTTAAAAAGACAGAAAAATAGTCATGAAAATGTCACAAAGGAAAAATAGCAAATAGTCAATAATTAGAAAATAAAACATTTATAAACTTGAGAAAAGAGTTTCCATCCCATGACTTGAGGGAATACAGAACACGAAACATAACCAAATTCAAGAATCTTAAAAGAGGATTCCAGAGGACTGGCACTTAGAATAACTGAAAAATGGCGGTGCCCCACTGGTGTTTGGCTTCTGAAGTACGAGTTCCACTCAGAGGTTCGGAATTACAGAGAGGAATAACTGAGAAGATGTTTCGCAAACGTTCCTGCCGGTCAGTGGGCAAAGTTCATGTCGTTTAAGGAGAACAAGTGACACGCAGTAAGGGATGCTTTGCAGTTACACTCCACAAAAGCGTAAACGCATGTTCATTTCGTATCAACTTACTGGGTATCTTTTTAAGGAATTTAACAGTTATTTGTGTGTTCATTAAATGATCTTTTTATTGCTGTAATAAGTTTTAATTATTGAATAGTTATTATATAGGGACACTATATATATAAATATATACATGTATATCTATCTATATCTATATCTATCTCTATATCTATATCTATCTCTATATCTATGTATATATATATATATATATATATATATATATATATATATCAGATACAGGCATGCTGTTTGCCAAAATTATTTTGTGAACAAATAGTTCGATATATTTTTATTTGTACTTTTGTTTTCCTTTTGAATTTAAAGCTTTCTACAATATTACTAAGAACTCTTTGCATATACCAATATAATAATTTCCTATATAGTACTAACAAAAAATTTATAAAAGAACCATAATACAAGAGATGAGATAGAGTTTATAGACCCACAGACTATTTGTCCCTCTTTTTTCATGCATGTTATTCTAGCATCAAGTACACAAACTTTTATTCCCAAAAGAATTAGTTTATTTTGTTGCCTTTTCAAAAATCAATTGACTGCATAAATATCTATTTCTGAGTCTTCTATACATTTAATACATTTGTGAATCTTTTAAATTTTTTAAATGTTATATGTTTATGATACATAGGAATGTTTCAACTATAAAAAGTGATGTATATATATAGATATAGATATACATATTGCACTTTGAGCATTTTTATCCTATTTAAGAAAAAGTTCCATGCATTTTTAATAAAAAGTGTCCATCTTATTATTGTTGGATGAAACATTGTGCAGATGCCATTCAAATCTGCTTCTTTCAAAGAATGAATCAATTGATTTTTCTCAATTGTTTTTGCCTGGTTGACACACTTACAGGAGATGGAATTGAATGTCCTATGATTTTGTCAATTTCTATCGGAATATTAATATCCAGTTTTGTCAGCTTTTATTTCATGAAGATGAATATGCCAGCATTCAATCACATACACATACAGTTTTTGTCTCTTGTCTCTTTACACATAGGTGTTAATAATCTTTCTCTATTATGAACAGCTTTACCTTAAAGTCTACTTCAACTGAAAATAAGATAGATTCTCCTACACACTTTTCAGCTCCTTTTTCAAGTTCCTTGTATATATCACAATTCCAATATTTTATGGGGATATTTATGCATAATTCCCACAACATCCCGATGAGAAACCTTTTCAAGAGTATCATTTTATGGGTAAATCTGCTTAAGGCCACACAGGTAGAGATGCAAAGTCCAGTCTTTGAATCTATTGTGCATCTAGGATCAATGGAAAAAGAAAGAAGAATTGTGATGGCACAAAGAAAACTCCTGGAGAATTATTTCAGAGTGAAAGTGAAAATGAGGTTTCTAGTGCAATGATTCCCATGACTAAAGAAGAGAGATGGGTAGAGATTCATACTGATGTTCTCTAAACTAACTTACAGACTGGAAAATGAAGGGAGAAAGGAGATAATAGGGTTAGGGTTAGGGTTAAATATTTGTTAACAGTTCGCCATTTTCCATGAGGTACCCATTTGACTTACAGTGTCTTATTTAATTGTCACAAGAAGCCATGAATGAGATATCACTATCATTGTCCCTATTTTAGAAATTATGAATTCGATGCACCAAGAGCTTCAACAAGATATTCAAGCTATTTCTGTTAATAAGCATGGTGGTGAGGAGTGATTAAAACACAGGCCTTTGAATCCTATGGAATCCACTCTTTTCTATGGTGATGAAACTGATGATCTTTTTATTTAATTCTTTCCATTTAAAGATGGAGCAAGACACACAGATAGATATTCCTAGGAAGTTTTTACAAGTAAACACTTTAGAAAAAACCTAAGTGACTGAAAGATATCTTAGTGTTACTGCAGTTGATACAAACTCTTACGTGACTTGCACCTCTGACCATTTTCAGTAACAAGGATAAGG